CTGCATTATTCATATAGAATAAAAATGCTTTCAAAAATGTACAATACGGGATGCTGTAAAGCATCTCCTTGTACGTTTTTATAATTACGTATTAAGTCTACAAGAGCTATACTTTTAATTAATTCTTTGCTCGAATCACATCAGACACCCTCCCCACGTGACACTACACCACCTTATTCTTTTTGCGTCCTCGCTGCGAAATTTTTATACAGTTTCATTGCCCCCCACATTCAAATTTCCCTTAATCTCTTAACGATTTTATTCCTGCCGAAAGCTCTACTTACTCGTGATGCAACAAGTATGGGCGCACTTAATATAACCTCGTTTAGGCAGGTGGGTTATATTAACACGTGGTTTTAATTAGTCCTAATTGGAAATAGTTAAGATCTGGTTTAGAGAACTTTCAGTTATCCTTGAAGAAGTAGAAGCTACTACGGGAACAACTGTTACTATCATTGAAAATGGATTTGTCGTTTGTAACGGACTCTTAACATGACTTCGTTAATTGTCATTTATAAGTATCGATATTTAAACCGACCATTTGTTGATTTCTGACTCCACAAGAATGGGTTAGTGTTTGCTTTTGTGGAGATTCCTGAACCAATGATGTATTAGAACTGTAGAAAGGTTATATTCTATTGCAACTTTGATATTAACAATTCTTGCGTTATAAGTATATTTCTAGAAAGAAAATCTTCTTGGTGCAAACTAAAATCCTTATGGTGGTAAATAATAATTTGCGGCGGCATATACATACACTGCAATAAAGAAGGGGATGGACTCGAACTATAGTTGGATTTGCTTTGCAAACAGGAAGATTTCCTTACCGAACGGAAGCAGAGAACTGGTCCTCTACCGGACTAAACTGGTATTGAATTTTATAGCCCATCCAACAAAGGAAAAATGGGGAAAATAATCTGTGCGAAAGTGAATTTGGATATAGTTGTAGGTAAAGGGTCTTAAACAACATGCTAAAAGTATTGAGGGATGGGGGTGAAACTAACGGGTTGGTATAAAGAACCCATTTTATAGTTTCTTGTAAATAACGGTGGCCCATAGTAAAGATTTTCTTATACTTAAATAGTGTACCTACATAAAATTCTCTACACAAAAAACTTTTTCGCATTGTTCAAATTACCGGACTTTTTTTTTACGACAATTCAACTCATGTATAAAAACTCGCACAGTGCAATTGTCACCTTGATAGCGGCAAAAGTTACCTGCAACTTTTCCAACGACAAATGCACTAGTGGTTTTTTCACTTATTCATTTTCGAACCAATTATCGCATTATCCTATCCCATATGATTAGTTTGACGTCTGTCAATAAAATGCTAGGCAACAGATTACCTAAACAACCCAAATTTACTCGGTAAAATACAAACCTCTTGTGCAATTATATAAGTGAAAAATCGTATGGAAATTTTTTTCACGATTTTTACTATGCGTTTCCATGGCGTTTCGTCCTGTCTATAACCAATAGCTCAATTGTTGAGTGACAGAAAATGGCGAATGTCAATGATATTGTGCAATTATGGGTTATTAAGGATCACTATGCAAAAAAAAATACAACACGTGTTGAAAGTGTCTTTTTTTCATGAACTCTCCGTCTTCTTAACTCGGGATTCAAAGACCCTTGCAGCATTGTTAGGTAACGCTCTGAGTTGACAGTAATCACCAAAATTCTGCTGACTCATTACTCATGAGCAAGCGAGTGACCTAATGCTGATCCAACAACCGCAACTCAATAGTGCCAATTAAGAACACGAAATATGGTACAAATGCCAGACATCTCGGCTGTAAAGGTTTCCGAGATCTATTAAGAAACAATGCTCCATTCAAATTAAACAACGCAGATAAGGTGAGCTCCATTTCCATCTCGATTGACAAATTTATTGTTTCAATTTCTTGAAGGATATTATTTATTTGGAAAACCAATCCAACCCACTAAATTTCTATGATATGCAATGCACGAAATGTTCCATCAAAATCAGCACTATCGATAATATGGAATATCGACATCCTCTATAGAGACAGTATCATAAATATTGACTATATCAATATAACACTTACAACCGTAATATTACGACTGTTGAAGACTGTAAGGTTTGGGGCCTTTTATTTAACTCTAACCGCCGCTTGGCCATTTTTGTATTCGTCTGGAGATTTGAGAAGATATGCTGAATGTCGTTTCATAGCTCTGAAAATTGTGGCAAATTTGTGCTAACTGCTAAGAGCATTTTTTAAATCATGGATATATATTATATTTTTATACATGTTTTTAAAATGAAAATCTAAAAAATGCGTTAATTTTGAAACGGTTGGCAATAGATTAATTATTTAAGTAAATTTAGCAACTAGTGATAATTAGAGATGTTGCTTTGTTTTTTGGGTGTAGTTTTTATTTTTAGATGTGGAGCCTTTTCCTAAAAAACTAAGTGTCTAAATTTTAATAACGCCTTACCTACGCTTTTGGGAACCCTCTATTTGATTTTTGAAAAAATTAATTTCTACTCGGGCGAAAAAGCAGGGAGCAGGTATTTTCAAACATTTTTTACCAAATCGGAAATAGCGAACCCAAAAACCTAATTAAAACGGTACCTCTGTGTGTTATCGTTGCGGAAATGCGAGTTTTGGGGCGTAGCTCCCAAATGAAACATTTACGCGGTTGGTTTTTTAGCGTATTTTTGTTTCTCAAAAAAGAGCTTATTGTTCCACTACCTACGGTTCAGGGGCCTTTTATAAATTGATTGAGATTTCGCCAAAGGAGTATCGTAGAACGGAATGACGTGGATCCTTCTACATCAAAAATGCGCTGAAGTCTAATGATTGCACATCAGAGACATTTTTAACTTGTTTTGGAAAAATGTTTTTTTATTTCCCTGTATAACCCAAATTTTCTTGACTACCTCCATAAGTTTAGTAATAGTAGTGTAATAGTAATAGATAACATATCTATATAATCTCCATATGCGAACCAGGAATCCAAAATCAGAATTTTTTGCCCCAATTGGAGCAACAGTTTTAAGAAATATTCCGGCAAATGTTTGAGCCATTAGCAGGAGCATATAAAAGGTGCCTTCATTTCTAAATTTTGCTCTACCGGAAGCCAACGCACGCATATAGTCTCGATATTTGTGCAGAAAAAAGTGAGGGAAAATATCCCAAAAGTGGAAAGATTTTCATACAGTCTCGGAAACCATAGAAGATACGAAGATGGTCAGAGTGGGGAAAAGTTGCGCAAGTAATGTATGAGTTATGTATTATCATGCTGTAAAGGAAACGAGAAAATTTCGATTGCCATGATATGCCAGGAAAACTGAAATTTGTCGATTTGGTTGCTAATTTTTTCTGGTGTTATTTGAACAGATACAAAGGAACACTTTCTCATTGCCGCCATTTGAGCTCTGCTAATCAGCGTTGAGAGATTTTCAATGCAACCGAAGACATCATAACCAACTTTTTTTTATATGGCCCGTAAAAAAATTCCGTACTATATTGAGTAGCATTTTTTATTACGAATACAAAACAAACTTGGAAACTGTGGGTTTCAACAGGATGGTGCACCCGCACACAACGCCCTAATCGTGCGAGAATACCTATTGCACAAATTTCCTGGAAAATGAAAAATATCCTGTTGAAACCAAATGGGAAAGAAATGGTTCTCTAAATGCTACTGTTCTGGACAATGTTTTACAGGCTGATCCGCTGATAGATTAGTTCCGTTGCTACGAAAGGTGAAAAAAAGTGCAGGATATGTAATTGTGCGCGTTTTCACAGAGAAATCATTCGCGTAGAAATAGATTTTGTTTCTTGTGTACGTGTGTAAGAAATAAAGCCACATTTTTTAATGGAAATAGTATGTCATTTTATTATTAAATCCTCAAAATACTCTTATTTAATAATGATGAGATCATAAATGAAATACAGATTTCATTTAAAAAGTTCCAGTTTGGTGTTATTGCTCAAAAACTGCCAGGGCTCTTTATTTCTACGTCAATAATTCTTTGCTTCACTCTGTTTACCTTTCTTAATAATGAAACCAGCCTTTCAACGAAAAGCATAATTCAATTCCGTCCAAAAATAGGCACACTTCTTCCCACTGACATTGCCACCCTTAACGGATTCCGAAATGGCATAATGCTATGCACACCAAATAAATTACCTGTTGCCTAAAATTTAGACAATCTGTATCGGTTAGGAAAAGTGCAGATTGATACTGAATGTAAATTTAGCAGCCAATTTCCAACTATGGGGAGTAGGAGACAAACGGAATAATCGAGCTTTAGAGCTTTAGACTATATAATTACCAAAATTGGTGAATTTTTTAACGCCTTGCATATGGAAATGTCACTATTTTAATAGCGTCAGGTATCCATAGGTAGGCTCTTTAGAAAACGTATAAAAAACGGTCATCCTTTTCACTGTACTTCTCTCGATTGAAACATGATTCATTTTATGTTTGGATTACAATTATTTCGATTTGCATAATGTTCCTGGAAGCTACCAACAGAAGCATTTTTTTGCAATAAGTTGCGTCGCGTCATTTGTAATCAAAGGTCACTTTTTGTGTTTTATTAATAATAGATGTAATGACGCAATTTAAATTCGGACGAACAAGACATCTTACTTCGAGTTTTAATAAGTTGAGGAAATTCCATTGAATTCAAAAATGTCAATAGGAAGAGGAAAACCTCGCGACTTCTCATGATTATAACATATTTTTCCAATATAAACAGTTACGAACAAAAAAAAGTTGCTCGCAGTATTAAAAACGCGCAGTCTATAATGCCAGAAGATAATTAACGTGTTGTTGATAATTCAAGTTTCTTTTTTTTTGTATAATTGGGTTTAATACACTTACGATAGTTGCAACGGTACTCGAACGGCGACAACTCGTTTATATTAATTATAATTGCAATTACTAAATTAATTCTGTTTTCAGTCAGTCGTCTTCCTTATTTGTCGGACTTTGAGTCTGCTACAATTCGCTCAATGACGAAAAGATGGGAAACAATATCCCGCTATCTATACATTTTTAATTTACGCGACAAAAAGCTTCGTCTCAAAAACAAACACGTTCATCGCTTATTATTTCATGTGACCCGAACGTGGTAAAGGTCTGCGAGAAAAATTAGGTCAATATTGTGTTTTCTCGTAATCTAGTCGAGCTTGATTTGGACCGTTAGCAGTGGTCATCTGCAATATATTCGTAATTTCAGGTGCGGAAATTGGGAAGTGCCGCACTTGCAGTTCCTTCGGACGTTATTTAATTACGTAGTAGACATCCCATCTCAGCCCTTTATCTAATAAGCAATCTCGAAATGCAACTACTAATCGATATGTTTGTTACAGAAACATGTCTTCAAAGAGGAAATCTCCGCCGACTAAATTACAAGAAGGCGGGTCCGGCATTGAAGAAGCAGCACCTTTGCCGCCGACGATAATCGGCGGTGGAAGTGAAGGGGGTCTGACCGATTTGGACGAAACTAGTAGTAATAATCTTAGCGATCTCGGGGACGAGGATCCGACAACGATGGTCAGTAATAACGTCGCGTTTTATCAATTGTCTGAATCGCCATCGGGATCTGGTTCCGGTAGTGACGTCGATGATGGTATTGAAGAAGACCGATCGCCCCCAAAAAAGCAAAGAAGAGGATACACGGACGCTCCCAATAGCAATTTGTTAGTTCCTGGTGCACTTTCCGCAATGGCTCTGCATAATGATCAACTGAGGCAAGAGTCGGAAAATAGACGAAGAAATTCCTCCGAATGTAGTTCGCCATCTTCAGATATTAAAACCAGTATACATTATAATAATAATAATAGTAGTTTGCATAATAACAATAGTTCCTCACACCCTGTAAAACGTTCAATGGACGATGTGCTGAAAAGATTAACGTCAAAAATGAATAGCAGTACAATAAAAGAAGAGCAAAAGCGGCCTACACCGTCGACGACGCCCAACTCCATCCACAATTCGTAAGTTCTTTTTATCAACTTTTATAACAAAATGATTATGATAAATATGTATCAATCGAATTGCCTTGACCTCTCAGTCCTTTAGTCTGTAGATAACTAGCGAACCGATTAACCCAATTCTTTTCATTTTTATATAATTCCATACCACGCGTTTATAATTTTTGCATAACCGCATAATCATTCATTAATAACAATTGTAACTTACGAGTGTTGCGTGGTAGAGCACATTACAACACATAGAAACAATAGATACTATCTGTCGCTCAAAGTTACGTAAATGAAAAAGCAGATAAGGTGTACGAATTTCCATCATCGACATATTGATTAAGCGGAGGAACGTTTGGTTTAATGTTATACTGTAAATGCATTAGACATTAAATCGAAATTGCATTGACATATAAGACGAGCGGGAGCAACGGCAGCGGTTACGTGTCTATGCTGCAAAATTCGATGGGGGAAGTGCAGACGTGGGGTGGACTCTCACGATCAGGTCACCTTTTGCATAATAGAACAACTAAAAGCTACTACGATCGATCACCTTTTTATGTTTAGAACGGGACGGGATTAAATTTTCTCACATATTAACGAAAAATGGAATTTGGATGTTGCCGTGAACTTTTCGTAGACATAATGCGCGAATTTTAGATAATCCGACAGTTATGTAAGAGATGTTAATGTAAATAAATAAATTATAATGATATTGATGGTCACGTTTTGCTCGTTAAAAGTATAGTTGTACTATACTGACTGCATATCAGTACATATACAGGGTCGCTGATAAGACAATAGTGTTAGGGTTCTTCAATGTATACTAGGCAGTAATAATTTAATTATACAGGTTGGGCCATAAAGGTGTGACACACCCAAATTGCATTTTTTATGGAATTCCCTGGACATTATTCGATATACAAAATATATCGAGCGAATATTAAGGGGCACTAATCACCCCCCCCTCCCTCCCCCCGTATATACGAATGATTTAATGATGATGATTGTAAAGAAAGTAGGTTAATCAAACTTTCCTTTAGCAGGGAGTATTCGAGATTTGAGTTCTGCTGGTGGTACCATACCTCCTAAACTCCCCGGAACGGCGGAACTGCCTCATACTTTACAACTTTCAGACTTACAGGAATCTCATTACGTTAAAAAAGATTGAATTTTCCTTTCTTGACAAGTATTCCATTCGTTCAAATCTTCGTAAAATGTATAGGCCCCCCCATGATAATTGCAACGAAAGAAGGTTCACGCTTAAGTTTTCTTTACGGGAAAGGGGGAGGGGAGTATTCGAGTATTGTGTTTGGCTGGGGACTCTTAAAACTTTCAGACTTACAGGACTCACCGGGGGGTCTGGGGGTATGGAATACCCCTCCAGTATACGAATGATATGTTGAGGTTCATCAAAGTTTTTGGCGCATTTTCAACTCTATTGTCCGCACTTTGACCGTCTGTCCGTCTGTACCAGTACTAGTCCTCCAATGTAAGCTTTTCGTTTCTTATACAGTGTACCACAGCCCTGAGACCTTTCCAAATTATTACTGATTCCGTTGCGGGGAAAATCCAATTTCGTCGGTCGCGAGTGACCGATTCGGTGCAAACTTTGCACAGTTGACCTATATGCCACATGTAATAAACCTATTGAAAATGGGTCAAATCCAATGACTCCGCAGGGTCACACCGAGGTGCTCTGCCGCATTTTTAGATCTGCTTTAGGGGTTTATTTTTTATAAGGTCTCACATGATTTCTAAAGAACCTTCGTCTACGTTCTCCCCCTGATTAAATTCTTGGTATTTGCCCCTGAGGTTCGATATCAAAATGGCTCCAATTTTTTTAATGGAAGTTCCACATTTTCTTGGGAGGTTGTATCACCAAGCGACGGATAGACGAACAGAAAAGCGAAAGCATAATCGCTGCCTCTTTTCGGGATCGCGCAAAAAGCACTTATGTTATTACGATAAAAGTTATTTGTTATCTAACTAGGCAAAAGTTTGGGTGTTTTTCGAACTTGCTTCCTCCTTAGACCATGCTGTAGTGTATAGTATACAGGATATGCTATTTTCTGAATAAACGCCTTGAATGATTTAAAGATATATAATTCTCATATCCTGAAGTTCTGCAATTTTAACTGTTTTAGGTTAGAGATATCAAAACCTAGGCAACTTGTAATATGGAGGTTTTCTACTTTTGTGAAGCTTTGTAATTACTTCAAGAACAAAGGTAATGCCCTTGTGGTTTTTAAATATGCAGCGTGCAAGGGGATTAAGTGTGTCAAAGGTTTTAAAAAGCATTGAAGGAAGTTTTATAGTCTTAGTGTCTAGAAAAATCATGGAACATTCTCGAAGTCGACATATGACATTTCATAGAACGAATGCGTCGCATCCGGTTTTGTTCCTTATCACCGTTGACTAATCTTGTATCGACATGATGGCTCCTAGTGGCGCCCCGATGTCTCTCTGGATTTTTAGAATATTCGCTACAGTCGCTAAACGACTTAAGATATGGCGGTTTCCTTATCCTTTATTTCTCTGCAGTTTTTCCCACAGGTTTGTTCCAATAAAAAAAACTAATACTTTTTTATGTTTAAATCGGCATCTTACAGAGGTGAGAAGCGCTAATAAACTAAAAAAATGTAGTGAAGAAGGGAATCCACTAAAGAGTGAAGAATTTTATGCGTGTGTTTTTTTAAGGTGGCGTTTACAAAAAGTGCAAAAGTTACCTTGCGATTTCCTCAATAACTTTGTAGGTAAAAAAATGAACTTCTGTTAACGACCGATGGTTACTAAAGGTTTCAGCTTGTGAATGAAGTTAAATTTGATAACAAATTATTATCAGTGTGTGCTAAAAATGAATGAATGTTATTTCCCCCAAAAATTTTGACCCAGAAAGCAGTTATTGTGAAAACAAATTTCCAATTTTTCAATGTAAACGCGACCATAATGACTATATATTGGCGAGACTCATCTTCAACCGTCAGTGGCAGCGAAAACGCTCGCATTCCGGTTCTTCTAGAAGCAAGTCTGCTACACGCCCAGAGTATCAACGATGTCTCGGCATCGGAGCGAAAAATTGCACGGATCCAAGACCTTCGTACAAGACTGCCGGTCTGGAAAACTAATTTCCTCCTCACCATCCACGGCAGTGTGCGACGACACCAACAACATTTCCCGCTAAATCCAAGACCCGATTCTTAGCGGATACAGGAGTCGGCGTGTCAATCTTTTTCGTCCCCAGCTCCCGACGTCGCTAAAGTCCGGAGAAGTATAAACATTTTGCTGCCATTGCTGCCAATGGGATCACCATCAACATCTATGGTACCAAGTTGCTGTTCCCCGACCTAGGCTTCGCAAAACTTCGTGTAGCAGTTCATGCTGTGTGACGTCAACCGGTCCATCATCAATTCCGACTTCCTTCGCCGATTTAATCTGCTGGTGGACGTAGGAGGATATAGACAGGGAAACGCGAGTTAGTGTAAGTGCATCCGCTCCCGGGAGTTCTGTGTGTTCAGTGCGATCGGTTCAAAGTGCTAACCCCTTCGCAGACCTACTTAACGAGTACCAGGATGTGACTACACCGCGTGTGCTCAGTGGTAGAGTCACAACATCCGGTCTACCTGTATTCTCCAAGCCCCGCACCTCGCCGGACGTAGGACTTACCGCTGCTCGAACCGAACTCGTCCACATGGTGGAATTAGGAATTTGCCGACCTTCTCCAGAAACTGTTGAATCAAGCGAACAAGTTTTCTCCGCCCGGGTTTCCCGACGTCGAAATTCTATTTGATGAGAGTAAAAGACCATATGTTCCAGCCCAATTCCCAACGTTGATTTTCAATAAGATTCACAAGATGTCACACCCCAGCGGTAGAAAAATAAGTTTAAGCTCTCAACCATTCATGTGGCCCAAACTGAAATCTGGAATAAAGCTTTGGTGTCGTCAGTGTCTCGATTGTCAACGCTCCAAGATTCATCGCCACACCGTATCATCTCCAGGACAATTCCAATTGGTTTGGTATCCCTATGTTCCTACGCTCATCGGCCGCTTCACGGCTCGGCCAAAAGTTATTCCCATAAATGACATCGCCGCCGAGTCCGTAGCAAGACATTTCTCAAGCGAGCGGATTGCAAGATTTGGAATTCCGGAACGGTAAAGTGGAACGATTCCAAGTGCTACAGTAACGAGTGATGGGTAGAAGTGCTACCTATCATGCTTCTGGGTCTGCGCTCAACTCCCATAGATGACTCTGGTTTTGCACCACATCTCTTGGCTACGACGCAACACTCGACCTGCCGGGGGAATTATTTGCCAGCAGCTCGCATGATTCCGATACAACTGAAATTGCTAAGACACTCAGATTCTCCTTCGAAGATTTCCGATCATCCCATACAAAAAAATATCGAAAAATACCATTAAGAATCTTGAAGAAGATTTATCTAAGCGGCAGTGTTTTTTTTAGTAATTATCGAGGTAATTATTTTTTGAAAACTCGGCTTGGCTCTAGTTTTTTGTCCATCCCTCTCGAATTCTTTCTTGTATCGTCTACAATACATTATTATGGAACTTGATATTTCGTTTTTTACTTTTGGAAATGTGGTTGAATGAAGGAACTCTGTCAAAGGATCTTAAACTTAATTAATGAACCATGAAGGGTTTCAAAGCAACTTGCCATTGGAATCTTGAACGTTCCAACGCTTGTTAACTACAGAAATGAAGTACATTGGAGAATCGTGATAAGAAAGCTCCTACAGTGAACTAAATAAAAACACGTTGAACACAATAGCAAAATTTAAGGAGGCAGATAAAGGTGTAAAAACCTGAGATCGGTGTTGATTCAAAATGGAAATACGCACTTAATTTTACATTTATTTCCAATAAGTTTGCAACAAATCGGAGCGATTCAAAAAATTTCGTTAACCAGAAGAAATCGTGCGCAGAAATAATACCAAATCCCCAATTACATTCAAATCCTTCCAGCAGAGGTATTATTTGAACTTTCCGGAAGAAATGGATCAATGCTGTTTATTGTT